CACCATGAAAAAAAACACGACACCCAAAAGTTTTCACGTGTCGGATCCTGGGAGACACTCGTCCAACACTGTTTCGACACTGTTTGGACACTTTTCTGGGTGCTCGAAATTTTGTCTGGGATGTGGTCCTCAAGTACGATGGGAACAACCTAAAGCAAGAGCTACATGCGCCCCAACCACCTCACCAGAACCCCAGATTCCTGGTGGTCCGTATCGAAGCACCGGGAATGCGGAAGACGGTCGCAGTCGCACACGCTACCCACGGGCACTCAGGCGACGAGAAGAACGACCAGCTCTGGACAGGCCTCAATGAGATGGCCCACAAATTTGGTATTGACATTATCATGATCGGCGCAGTTACAGCGGGGGGGGCACATCTCAGACATCTCAGACTCGATTGGCGAGTACGGCGGGCACGATGTTCCACCATGTCTTCTTGACCTGCCACGTGACGGCAATCAGCGCCACATTGGGATTCCAGGGTCCTACTTATAAGTGCAAAACTGCTGACAAAAAGTAGCGCATCGACCACATCGCCATCCCACAAACAGCATGAATACTGTCTCCGACATCGCAACGATTATTGACAACGGCATGGTACAAGAAGACGAGGACCATCTACCAGTCATAATGAAAAGGAGATACATAGCGGCATCAAATACGCAGCACCGCGACTAGATCCCCAAAACCCAACTCAACGTACCAGCAAGCATCCCAAGAAGAGCTGAGGAACATCCACCTACACCCGTGGAACATTGATATCATCGACCACGCCTTCGACCTGAAGCTCAGGCACGCAACCGAGAAATCTTACAAGCAGGACAGGGCCAAGATAGGGAAGCCATACATCACTGACGACACTTGCGCACTACTACGGGTACGATGTGCGTGCCAGAACGCACGTCGTGCGTGGAACGACGCGCCCTAATCCACTCAAGCCCACACTTCGACAGCCCGACTGGCCAACCAACTCAGCGAAGCTGAATTACCCACAATTACAACCAAGAGCGCCATGGAGGATCCGTTCACACTGATGAAGCTGATCGTGATAGGCTACGGCATAAACCTGAACAGAAGGAGCTACAACTTCCGATCACTGCCTTCCTGCATCAATCCAGATGGCAGCGTGCCTCGAGGATGCGAGCCGACAAGGAAACATCCCTTAACCAATTCGCGCGTAACATCAAGAGCGCATGCGACCGCAAGAGAACTCGGCTGAGTGGTCAGGAGTGAACCTCAAACTACGACTTGAAGGACGACCACCACGTATAATTACATAATACCGATGCACAATCGGCACGAACGGGGAGCCGATCACCAACGAGAAAGCTCAAGCCGAAAGAGAATTCGAATATATCGCCATAGCCGACCAAGCCAAGATCCACGAGCCAAGGGACACCACCAACAACTACAACAACGCAAAGGAGGTCATCGCATTCCGTATCGACCAAGATACACGCATCACCAACATCATGGACAAGAACCAATTTATAACTGGCTTCCATGTTGCCAAGCTCCACCGACAAGGAGGACCCGATAATATTGCTGACCGTCAACACTACTATAGGAGGACATGTGCCGGACCGCCAGAAATGATATGCCCCGCCTGTACCCTCCTCTTATCGTCAAGTCAGAGATGGCCACTGTCGAACCTCTATAGCACAAGGATGGGTGGCAGGCAACGTTTGCGAAACATGGCGCAGACAGCAAGCATTTCGGCGACCGACGCATGATGCGGTTGATCGACGTCATCGCCAAGCACTACAATCATGTGTGGAGGAGGCTGTACAGGGCATACCACACATAGAAACGACATCGACGACGAGCACCTAGTGGCACTTCTGAGGGACGCCCACTCCGACCGATGGGCAACGACAAGAATAGCCACTCGTGCAGCCCAGCCACGCATGGGCACGCGACCAGGGGTACCCATGTCCGATTTCTCATTCGGCGTGGCCTCCGCACGGACCACCACGGCAAGCGCAACAGACATGATATGATCGAGCAAGGGATCCACCACGACACCAACCACATCAACGGCGAGCAGCCAACTTCCGCCCAAGGGCGACAAATGGGCGACGTGCACACTGGGGGGAAGACACTCACCGACGCATCACTCGCCGACGACCCCGCTGCCTGCGCTGCGACGCCCCCTCGGCAGGCTGCGGCCGTAGCGACCACCTCTGCTGCAGAGAATCGAAGCCATGGTACAGTCGGGGCGTTGACCTGAGGAACCCTAAACAAGGAACGGGGCCCCTTTTTCCATACGTCAAACGTTGATTTCCCATCGAAAACCTAAGAAACACCTCAGGCAAGCTGTAAAACAATGAAGGAACACGGAGCCCCTCCCCAACGAGAAGGGTTTCTTCTTCAGCGCCCCGACTGTAAGACGGCAGGCATGCGGCTCAACGCCAAGGAGGCCAACATCATGCCAGTGCTGTCGGCAAACGGGTCAAGGCATACAGAGGAGCGCATGGCGCAGGAGGGCACTTACGACATCCCCAAAACGTTTGCACCGACCAGACTTGTGGAGCTTGCAAACACCCAGACGACCCTTGGTACGGCTATCACATCTACGGCAGTCATGGGACCAGAGATCAAGAACATGATCAACAAGGCGATGGTCAGCCGAGAACCCCTACGAAAACAGATATTCAAACGAACGAACATGCCAACCGACAAGAGGGTGATCTACAAAGAATCCCTCGTCCTCACCACCGCTGCGCTCAACGATCACAGTTGGACGTCACCTACAGAGACAGACAACAGAACCATCGGCATGGATTACATGAAGGCTGCGCACCACGCCACAGAAAAAACACACACATAATACAATCATAATCAAAGTACCTGCTGATGCCCGCAGGCTGCCACGCGATGTGGCAAAACAGGCCAGGCGACTGCGATACGTACCACGTTTAATGTTACACGGCCCTGCGGTATTTCTCAGGCTACTCGACCAAGGCCTTCGCCATGAGTCAAGCTGAGCCAATACCTCGACGGAGGACATACAATGGATATACACATACCTCCATCCCAACAGCCAGCCCAGTCGACCGACCTGCAACAAGCAGAACGAGCAGTCAGAAGGCGAGTAACCAGAGGCGAGCCCGGCAAGCTCCGAACGACAGTGAAGACAGCCGTCACCAGGTACCTACGACGCCACGCGGACAAGGCCCACCAGCAGAAATGGTACAACGCACTCAAGCCCTACTGGACGAGCGCGTTCCACTACTCGCAAAGTGTCTACTCGCAAATGGCCTGGATCCGCCGCGGGGGATCTACGTACATTACATCGAAGCAGACATGTGTTCTTCGGACGTTTGCGAGTAGGCACTTTGCGAGTAATGGAACGCGCTCGGAACACTGCCGAAACACTGCCGACATGCCACGATAAGCGGCTATGCGACCAACGCCACCCAACCCAACTTCGAGTGCTACCAATGCGGTCGGCATTCTTGGAGAAGGACGCCCACAGTCGGAGCTGATTGGACCGGACACGCGAGAGGACACGAGACCCTTTCGAGGGCCACGTTGCCACAGGAACTTCGGAGGCATGGGCCGCGAGACACAGGACACAAAGGTACTCCTGACTTGGCAGGGTCGACCTACGAATCCGGGCCGCCTGCACTGTGCACGCCTTGGAAGGTACCGCCAGAGCGGGGCGCGTCCAAAGAGATGGGCACGCGGAACCATATGCACGACATGCGGTTACCAAAACCACACTTGCGCGAGACTCGTCGAGCACTCACACGCAGACCCGTCGTCCGTGCAGGCTGCAGGTGGTCGCGTGACTTGTTCGGGCCCAAGGGCCCAATACGGGCCAAGAGGGCTCTAAGAGCCCCCCAAGAAGGTCCAAGAGGGCCCCGAGTCGCAGGAGCATCGCTGAAGACGCCCAAGATGGACTCTATACGGCCCAAGATGCCTTCCAAGACGCCCCAAGAGGCGGCCTCCAAAGAGGGCCTTAGAAAACAACAATCATTGATGTTCTTTTGGCTGTTGGCAGATTTGGGCGTTCTCGCCTTTTCGGCTTCCCGACGATCCAAGACGGCCCAAAAGGCCTCCAAGATCGCCCCAAGACGGCCAGGATGCTCCAAAAGGTGGCACAGACGGGGGACCCGAATTGACATGTCGAGCCCTCACCGAGATGCCCCCAGGAAGCCCCCGAGAGGCCCCCAAAAGTTCCCCAAGAAGCCCCGGCCAAGGAGGCTCCCAAAAGGCTCCCAAGAGGCCCCAAACTGCCACCAAGAGGCCCCCGCGAGCGCTCCGAAGAGACGCCAAGAAGCATCCCTGAGGACTCTGACCCACAACCCAGGCACGATGACGGGATGGGCCGAAGGCCATTCGATAGCGGCCAGGCGTTCAACACTGCAAGCCAAGTCTCTTCACATCAACCGATTTTCGCGCACAAAGTGATGCTCCAAGGACGTGGTGTGCTGCCTTTGCAGCAGACGCCGAGCTTCTCACTGTACAGAACTGAGTGGTGACGCATGCTACATAGAACAGATCGGCGCACTATACGGCGCACGATGCTGCGATGTAGGGAGGATAACGGCAAGCAAGCAATATGAATGAGAACGCAACGATTTGGAATGAAGAGGGATAGAGAGAGAGACATATTGAAAACATCAAAAAACACAACAACTAAAAATAAGAACAACATGTATAGATCGAGAGAGAGAGGACAGGAGAGAGAGAGAGAGAGGAGACAGAGAGAGAAAGAAGGAGATGGATATAGGGATAAAGAGAGAGAGAGAGAGAGAGAAGCAGAGGTATGTAGAGAAAGACGAAGAGAAGGAGAGAGAAAGAGAGAGAGAGAGAGAGAGAGCGAGAGCTGGAGAGAGAGAGAGAGGATAATGATGACCAAACCGAGATCCGAGGCACGCCCAACCATGAACAAGCTGTGGGTCGACTGGCTCGCCAAACGCGGGGCCCTTCGACGGAGTAGCCACTCGCCCTGCAGCATGCCATCACGTGGCGGCCTATGTCCACATGTTTACCTGGAGGATCTGCGATTCCCGCAGGTCCCTCGCAGCTGAGCGCTCCGTCTGCAGACGAACAAACTGGCGATCAGGGGAGAACATCTTCTCGTAGTCGGCGAGGCTCGCTGGCTCATGCGCAGGAGCGAACAGCCGCTCAGAGCCGGCAGTGCCCAGCTCCACTCCGGGAGCCTCGGCCGCCGCTGCCAGCGACGAGGCATCCCTGGGGCACCTCCACGGCGCGCTCCTCGGACAGCCCTCTGGACAGCCCGACGCAGTGGCGATGTCGGCCTGCGCCCTCTGGACAGCCCTGGCGATGTCGGCCTGCGCCTTCTGCACGGCCCTGGCGATGTCGGCCTGCGCCGACTGGACGGCCGGATAGCGGGAGCTGGCGCCCAAGTCCGGCGCAGAGACGGTGGCTGTCGCCTCGGCGCCCAGACCTTGTACGCGCAGGCCGTGGGAATGCGCAAGCGCCTCCGCCAGCGCCGTCTGGTCGGCAACGTCGCCGGCGCACCACTCCTCCGTGTCCGCGAGCAGCGAGAGCACCTCGCGGCACCGCGAGCGCATGGAGTTCCCCTGCGCGAGGAGGCCGCAGAGGAAGGCGAAGATGCTGCGACGGTGGTCCGCGTCGATCATCCGCCCGGCCTCTGCCAGGCTCGGGGCCGCCCTCTGCCTGGCTTTGCGGATGCCATGACAATGGGCACCCCAGCAATCCTGTCCATCACTGAACTGAAGATGTGATTAGCATGTGTAAAACGTGTTCTAATCATGTTTCAAATACCTTTTTACACACAAGCCCTATCATTGAATTGAAGATGTGATTAGAAGGGGTAAAACGTGCTCTAAACATGTTTAAAATGTCTGTTTTTATACAAACACACACACACCAACAAACAAACAAACAAAGAAAACAAACAAACAAACAAAACAAACAAACAACACACATCTTTTAGACGTCTGGGAATTGTTTGGCAGCGTGCCTCCTCTCCATTGAATCGACTTCCACACGCCTGGCTTTGACCCAGCTGTAGAGCTCCGAGAAGGCCTCGCCGCGGCTCCCCGGGTCCTCGAGCCTGCTCCGCGCCGGCAGGCCCCCGAGCGACGCCCTCGCCGCGGCGCGGCGCGCGGCCGCCTCGGCGGGGGCGGGCAGGTGGGCCGCTGCGGCCGCCGCGGCCTCGAGGTCGGGCAGGCTCAGCTGCGTCTGCGGGGCCCATTCCGGTGCCTCGCTGGACGCCCGAGCTGGGCACAGGGCAGTGTTTGATGCACGGGATTTTCTAAAATATAGGATTCTTGATACATGATTCATTCAGGAATAGATTTATGCATGAGCTCATCGTTGTTTTTAATGTGAACCCCTGCGTGTTTAAGACATGATCCGCACGCGGAGCACATATTAAAAAAGGCACACTGTACGGACAACAGCTGGGCACAGTGCCCAACAGCAAAAGCTGTCCCGAGCCACCAGCGGCCGCTGCTGGGCAGGCGGCCTTCTGTCTCAAGTGGACACGGGCCGCGGCGGCGCGGACAGCGAGTCCTGTTCCGAATTGAACAGGAACTGCTGTTGGGCACTGTACCAGTTCTTTCCGTGCAAATTTCGTTCGCGCCGAACCTCCGCCAGGACCCTCAGCAACTCCAGCGCCTGGTTCCGCCGCAGGCCCCCCGCGGACTCTCGGGTGATGCGGTACACCTATAGGGGAACCAGCCGGGACACGGACATCCGCCACCGTGCCTCTGGGCACGGAGTGGGCGTGTCCTCGGATGTGCTTCCTCCCTACTATTGGTGGTCCCCAAACGTGGTGGTGAGAACACCCGGTGGTGAGTTTTGGGCGATTTGGGTAATGGTTTTCGAGTGCTGGCTGGCCCAGGAAACGCAAAACCTCGTGGCGATCGCGTGTCCCCAAACCCGGTGGTGACCCAGAATTATTTTTTGGGGGAATCGGGGTCACCACCGGGTGTCTCACCACCTGGTTTGGAGACCACCAATACGAAGCCTTGGTCCTCGGTCCTGAGGGGGTCTTTACAGGGCCGGGGCCCCAAACATTCAAACATACCGGGGCTTCTCGCGTGCCCCCTGGGCTCTGGGACGCGTTCCCGCGTGATGTTTGTTCGGACCCAGGAGGGCCCTAGGACAAGCCAGGAGGGCCCCAAGAAGCCCCCAGGACGGTCCCAGAGGGCCCCGAGTCGCCGAACGATCGCTCCAAGACCCTCAAGATGGCTCTCAAACGGCCAGAGGTCAGACGCCCCAAGAGGCCTCCAAGAAGTCGCCCAATAGGGCCGCAAGAGGATTCGGGCGTTCTGGCTTTTTCGGCTTCCCGCCGCTCCCAGACGGCCCAAGTGGCCCCCAAGATCGGCCCAAGATGCCTCCGAGAGGGCCCCACAACGGCCCCAAGACGGTCCAAAGGGGTCCAAAAGAGGGAGCACGAACTGAAAATCAAAGCATTCCGCCCCAAGAGGCTCCCAGGAGGCCCCCAAGAGGCCTCCACGAGCCCCAAAGAGGGCCCCAAGAGGCCCCCAAAGAGGCACCCAAAAGTGCCCCAAGACGCCCCCAGACGGCCCCCAAGAGGCGTCCGAACTGCCTCCAAGATGCCCCCGAGAGGCCTCCCACAACATCCCAACGAACATCCAAAAGGCTTCAGACCCAAAACCAAGCACGGTGGCGAGATGGGCCGAAAGCCATGAGATCCGCCGCCCCCTGTCGATTCATCGCAGGGGTGCCTGGCGTGCCAGACCCTTTCGGTTTTGGTGTTGGCTCTTTTTCCAAAAGAAGAACTCCCCTGGGACTTCGGCACGTCCCGCCGGCCACCCGGAAAGAGCTTCCAGGACCTCAATCCCCAAATGTTTCGCTCAAGATGGCCTCCAAGATGCCTCCAAGACGGCCGAGACGGCCTCAAAGACGGCTAAGATGGCCCCCAAATACCTCAAAGACGGCCAAAGATGCACCCAAGACAGCCTAAGATAGCCTCAAGATGGCCCAAGACGGCCCAAGAGCACCCTAAGAGGTCTCCAAGATAGCCCAAGAGGCCTCCAAGAGGTCCTCCAGGGACCGAGGAGGCCAAAATTAATGATCTCCCTTCGGTTTTTGATAGATGTTGGCACTTTCGCCTCTTCGGCCGTCCGACGGCCCAAGTGGCCCCCAATATCGCCCCAAGATCGTCCAAGAGGTCTCCAAGCTGGCTCCATGACGGCCCAAGAGGCCCCAAATATGCCCCCAAGAGGGCCCCAAGAGGGCCCCAAGAGGGCCCAAGAGGCCTCCAAAACGCCCAAGCTGCCTCCAAGACGGCTAAGATGACCCCAAGATGTCTCCAACACTGCCCAAGATGCACCCAAGACGGCCTGAGATGGACTACAGATGGCCAAAGACGGCCCAAGAGGCCTCCAAGAGGCCTCCAAGACGGCCCAAGAGGCCTCCAAGAGGTCCTCTAGGAGGGACCGAAGGGGCCAAACTCATTGAGTTCCCTGAGGTGGTTGAAGGATTGTGGCATTTGCTTCTTCTCGGCCTTCCGACGGCTCAGGAAGGCTCAAGAGACTCCCAAGATCGCCCACGAGGCCTCCAAGATGGCCCCATGAGGGCCCAAGAGGCCGCCAAGACGCCCAAAATGGCATCTAAGACGGCTAAGATGGCCCTAAGATGCCTCCAAGACGGCCCAAGATGCACCCGGGACGGCTTAAGGTGGCCTCAAGATGGCCCAAGACGGCCCAAGAGGCCCCCAAGGGGCCTCCAAGACGGCCCAGAAGGCGTCCAGGAGGTCTTCTAGGGGGGCACGAAGAGGCCAAAATCATGTATTGTCTCAAGGTTCTTGAAAGATTTTGGCATTTGCTTCTTCTCGGCATTCCGACGGCTCGAGACGGCGCAAGAGGCCCCCAAGATCGCCCACGAGGCCTCCAAATAACGGCCCCCAAAATCCCCAAGACGGCCCAAAGAGGGCCCCCAAACAGCCCAAGAGGCCTCCAAAACGCCCAAGATGGCCTCTGAGAACCCCTGATCTGCCCCAAGAGGGCCCCAAGACGACCCAAACAGGCCCCCAAGACGGCTTGCGACGGCGTCAGACAAGCCAGGAACGCCCTAAGAAGGCCAAAGAGGCCCCCAAGAAGCCCCCAAAGGCCACCAAAACCCATCCAAGAGACCCCCAGGAAGCTCCCAGGAGGCCCCAAGAGTGCCCCAAGAGGCGCCCAAGAGGCCTCCTCCTCCTCCTCCTCCTCCTCCTCCTCCTCCTCCGCCTCCTTCTCTTCTTGCTCCCCCATGCGTTCCCCGAAGTCTTTCCAAACCGACTCGGGGAACAACTGGCCCGATAGCTTGGCCATGCTCTGGCCCAACTGTCGGCCACAGAGGCGCTTCCCAAGGGGCAGGGGGCGGCGGTGATTCGCCGTAGGCGTCTTAGATAGCAACTCGGAGGTCCGCGCGGGTTTCTCGGATCGGCGCTCGACCCACCGCCTTGGCGCGCGGAGCGCGCCAGGGGCGGCGCCAGAGGCGCCGCCAGGAGCCCCCAGCGCCGACCCGAAGAATCCGCGCGGACCTCCGAGTTCGCATGCTTATGCCAGTGTCTACCCCCTGGCACCAGAGCGCAGCGGTACCCCTCGTCGACCAGCCGCCCTGCCTCGCGCAGGTCTCCTCGCGAGGAGCGCGCCCTGACCCAGGCCCTCAGGCCAGCGAAAACCGACGCCCTGTCGCCCCCGAGGTCGAGGAGAGCGCTAGCAGCGGGGAGCCCTGCGACCAGGTCGACGGCGCTGGCTGCGGCCATGGCCACTTGGGCACCACGTTGCCCGGGCGGGGAGGGGAGCCTAAGATGGCTCAGGACGCGCCGCCGGACGAACTGCAGCACACAGCTAGACGCCTGAGGCGGACATGGGGCGCAGAAAGACGGGATGCGGTGGGTGCATGCGTGTGGTCCGCCGCTTCCCCCGCCAGGCAGTTCCGAGGGAATGCCAGAAAAGGCCATCCGATCATGTCTTGGCGGCGAGCGAGAGGGGGGACACGAGAGGGCGAAGGCCTTCTCAGGAGGCGGCGGGACTTCTCAGAAACCTCCAGGCCTTCTGAGAAATTCTTGTTTGTCTTCGGGGAAGCCGCAGTAGACTCCTCAAGGGCGGGGCGGCTCCCGAACCTCCTCCTCTTCTTCCTCCTCCTCCTCCTCCTCCTCCTCCTCCTCCTCCTCCCCCTTCTCCCCCCCCACTCGCTCGCCGCCGAACTTCAGAATCGCTCCCCGAGCAACGCTTGCACTCGGAGCTTCCCGAGGTATCCGCCACACTCAAGCTCGGAGGAGGGAGGAGAAGAAGAGGAGGGAGGGAGGGAGGGAGGGAGGGAGGGAGGGAGGGAGGAGGAGGAGGAGGAGGAGGATTACGATGATGCGCGCCAAGGTGCGTGCCAGCGCGCCTGCGGCAACGGCCGCAAGCGAAGGGTGGCGCGAAAAAACACGGCCTTGCCGTGGGGCCACCCTTGGTATATAATCTCGCTCGCGGCCTGGGCTACGAGCGCGGCAGCGACAACCCGCCGCGAGTGGAAGGTGGCGCGAAAAAGCTACGGCCTTGCCGTGGGGCCACCCTCGGTTCTTATGGATCGCTCGCGGCAAGGCCAGCGAGCGCGGCTGCGGCGGCCTGCTCCACGGCCATGCCGTGGGACGCCGCTCGGACATACGGAGTGAAGCCGTCGCGACCCGCACGGGCGCGCATAAAAAAGGCCCTTTTCGATCTTGGCCAGATTATCATCGCCTTTGCGGGTTAGGCCCCCGCACGGTCTGGCAAGGTGCCTAGGGTATTCCGCGGCCACAAAGTGTGGCCGTCCCCTGTACTGGGACGACCCGGTCGCTTGCGACAGGCTGGGGTGCCACTTGTTGGCACGGCTTCGCACAGGCTGGGCAGGATTTGGGCCTTATCCACTGTAACTCCGCAGCTCGAGCACCTGTACTTGCTCGAGTGGAGCACAAAGGAGTGAGTGCTGGCACTCAAGGCGCTCTGCAGCAGAGTGGCGCGCTGTCCCTTAGCCTTCGAGGGTCGCTCTGCGACCCACGGGTCGACGGCCATGGTATCAGCAAGCGCTCGACGGGCACGGCGCCTGATGAGAGCGCACTGCGCATCGTGCAAGTCAGTAGGGGGTGCAGCACCAACTACGGCCGCGCCCCATGCACGGCGGGCGGCTTCGCCAGCCCACGCGTCTGCACAGGCGTTGCCTAGCGTGTGGGCGGAGGGGTCACGCGCTACACTGGCGGCGTCCTCGCTGTGTGAGGGCACCCACAGGACGTGCGCAGCGCCTGGTCCTCTGTCCTGGACCGCGCGGCCAATGCGCTGCCACAGATCACGGTTGGTTCCATGGGGCTGGAGGTGTCGGCTCGACCTCCACACCTGCAAAAGGGGCATGTTGTCAGTGACATAGCGCAGGTCACCGACTGAATGCTCGAGGGCCAATGCGAATGCTAGGAGCTCGGCGCGCGGCACCGTTTGAAATGGGCCGTCCAAACCTGAGGGGACGCCTCCCCAGGGCATCCATTCCCCAATACGAAATTGCACGGCGATCACAGCGGCTCCCACCCTGCGGCGACTGGGGTCTGAGCTATACTGGCCCCCCCGAGCCGTCGCCATACAGGGTGAGGAGGCCATCCGAACCTTCACGCCCGTCCCAGTCCCGCCCAACCCAGCTCTACCCACCGTCCCGTCCCATACCTCGAAATACAGGGTGCGTGTCCGCACGGGCGGCAAGGCCACGGAGCCAGCATGCAGGGTCAGCCTCAGCGCAAGCGAGGGCTGATGGGGAGGAGGGCGTCAGATTTCTCGTGGCCCTCGTGGTCGCGGATGCTGGGGCACAGCCAGACGCGATGCATCAGCGTCTCCTCGGCGCCTCCACACCTCGGGCAGGAGGTCTCGGCCTGGTAGCCCGCCTCAACGAGGCGCCCACGTGGCCACTGTGCGCCCGCCACCACAAAGAGGTTCAGCGACCACTGGTCGTACTCTCCGTCGCGCATGAACTTGTTCATCTCGTGCGTCACGATATGTACGTCGCCCCCTCCTCTCTGAAGTCCAATTCCTTCAGGGTGTTTCGCTGCAGCCTGCCAGTAGCCGCTCTCGATGGACTGACGGAACTCCAGGGCCAACTGCGACGGGTCGACCTGCTCGCGTCTCTGCTCCCAATCTCCACAGTCCTTGTGAGGTGCGAGCCATGTCTGCTCGCCCTGCTCACCCTCTCGAGGCTGTCGAGACCACTCGAAGGAGAAGGACAGTCCAACCCCGCGTCAAGTAGGATGGCCTGGACGGCGGAGATGGGGCCCACCACCTGTCTCCAGCGCCTCGTGCTGCTGCAGGTGACCTTCGTGTAGATGATCCGCCAGGCCTTGCCGATGCGCTGGTGGTAGTTCGGGTTCGCGAGCCAGAAGTTCCACTCCAAGATGGGCTGCATTCTGAGCTCGATGCCTGGGTCATTGTCGCCCAGGATCACGGCTAGGGCGGTTGCGAGGCAGCGTCCAGGGACCTTCCCCGCTGCGACCTGCACGGCCTGACGCCTCTGCTCGGTGATGGTGCGCGGGGAGAGGCCCATGACCTGGTGGCCGTAGGTGCCCTGCGGGCGGGATCCCGTTGTCCAGAGGCCCTTCGTACTCTTGGCAAGCGAGGCGTGCCTGCGGATCTTGGATATGATTCGTCCAGTCCTGCGCTTGCCCTTCTGCGCCCTCTGAGCTGCTTTGGCCGCCACTCTGCGACGGGCTCCGACGGTCTCGATGCCCAGGTCGACCGCAGTGCGGGACGCCTTGATGGTGTAGCCCGCGCGCTTGAGGTAGGTGTGCACGTAGAGGGCTACCGCAGCCGAAGACGCGATCACCGTGGTCTTCGGGGAAACCTTGAGCTCCGCCTCGGTCATGCCGTCGCACAGGATGACGCCCACGTCGGCGAGATCCCTGGCAAGAGGAGGAGGAGGAGGAGGAGGAGGAGGAGAAGGAGGAGGCTAGGGTGGAGGAGGCGAGAAGGAGGAGGAGGAGGAGGAGGAGGAGGACAGGGTGGATGATGATGATGATGATGATGACGATCCCTGAAGTCAGGGTTCGGCCGCCTGGCCTGCCTCCTCAGATGAGGAGCACGAACTTGCCGACGGGCCTCACGACGTCCGCGCCAGCGCGACGAGCTGCTTGAAGGCGGCTGCCCTGGCCTCCGCGCTCGCCCTCGACTCCTCGGAGTCAGCGCCGGCCCTGGCCGCCCGCGGCAATGCCCCAGCAGCAGCACCTGCGTCGCCGTGCTCGGGCCCCCCGAGCGGGCCACGGCGGTCGCCGTCCAGCTCGGCCACGTGGTCGTCGATCACGCCGCCGTGACCACGTCCTTGCCCTCGAACGCTCGGTGCGGCCCGAGGATCCCAGGGCCCTGGCCAACCGCCGAGGGCGGGGACTCTTTCCCAGGCGTGCCCGTGGCGCAGAGGGGGGTACGTGGCCGACGGCCTTCGCACTGCCCCCGCTGCGGCCGCCTCAGCGCCGCGCCCGCTGCCCTCGGCTGCAGTGGAGTCGCTGCCGCCGTCGCGCTCGCCCAGGCTGGTTGCGGCCGCGCCTGGGGGCTGCTGCTCGCGCGCGCCAGCCGCCGCCAGGAGACGGGCGACGCGCTCGGCGAATCCCAGCGAGCCCAGCGCCGCCGCGGCGTTGCCGTCCAGCGCGTCCGAGGCGCCGCCTGCCGCAGCCGATCCGCTCGCGGCCCCCGCAGCAGCCGCCCCGGCGCCGTGCGCGGTGTCGCCCAGCGCGCTCACGGGGGCGACGTCCAGCGCGTGCGAGCCGTCGACGCCCGCCGACAGGCCGCTTGCCGCCCCCGCAGCTGCGGCCTCCGCGTCGTGCACAGCGCCGCCCAGCGCGCCCTTGATGTCGTCGTCCAGCGCGCCCGAGCCATCGATGACTGCCAGCGAGCTGCCTGCCTCCCCAGCAACGGTATCCTCAGCGCCGAAACCCCGCGCGCCCAGGAGGCCGTCGTCCAGCGCGCTCGAGCTGTCGAGGTCCATCGCCAGGCCGAGCACCTCTGCAGCAGCTGCCGCCTCGGCGTCGTGCTCGTCGTCGTCCATCGCGCCCTCGACCTGGACGTCCAGCGCGGCCGAGCCGTCGAAGCAGTCCGTGCCCATGCCGCGCACCTCCCAAGCGACTGCCGCCTGAATGCCGTGCTCGTCGTCGCGCAGCGGGTCCACGACCTGTTCGTCCAGCGCGTCCGAGCCGTTGAGGGTCGCCGCTGAGCCGCGCAGCGCCCCCGCGCCAGCAGCCCCAGCAGCCGCATACTCCTCGATGTGCTCCACGAAGCCCGCCGCGGCCGAGGAGGCGACGCCCTGCTTGGCCTCACGCCGCTGTCCCGAGCTGGCGGTGGCACTGGGTCCACCAGCAGCAGCAGCTCCTTGAGCACCCCTGAGGCGCGCCCCAGCGCGTCTACCCCGTCGAGCTCCGCGACCTGCCTCTTGCTGGAAGTCTCCTCTGGCCACCGCGTGCCCGAACATGGTGTTTCGCATCTCCTGTTCATCACGCCAAAACTGTGCCCTTTCGCGCACTCGTTGGTGGAGTGCGGCCATCCTGCTCTCGAACCCTGCCACAGGCGCCGCCACATCGGTGCCGCTGAGGATGTCGACCTTCGTGAAGGTGGTGTGTACCTCGCTCGTCGCCTCCAGCCGCCTAAGCGGGGTGGTGCGGTCGATAAACCTCTTCAGCTTCTTGAAAGGACCGACACCGCGCCTCAGGTTGTGGAGGACCTCGAGGCCCTTGGTGGTGGCAGCTACGCAAGGCTGCCGTAACTTGGCCTTGCGCCGCTGCAGCGCCCAAGCCCCGCACTTCACACATATGAACACTGGCCTGTAGGTGTCCTTCGCGTCGCTCTCCAAGGTGTCCAAGGTGCCCTTCTGGTTGACCGCTACCAGCTTGTGGCCGTTGGGGTTGCGCCGATGGTCCAGCAGGAAAGTGGCCATCCCAGGGCACCCCGTGAGGGGGAGTGGCTGCCCTGGCATGTGCATCTGTAGGCAGGTGATGCATTGCACGCCCAGCTCGCCATCTTGCCATTGGTGCCATGTTGCTTTCCTCGTGCTCGCTGCCCGCCGCAGGGTCGGTGCTCTCCTGGTCCACCTGAGCTGGTCGTCCTTGTCGAAGATGGGCATGACGTGGGCAATCAGCTTCGCAATCTGGCTGATTCTGTCGACGCCCTTCTGCATCTCCTCCACTATCTCCTGCTCGGTAGCGGGGTGGATCGCCGCTGCCTCCTTGGCCCTGAGGTCCGCCACGATGTTCGCGTCCGTGACCCTCCTCTGGCTGTCGGAGAGCGCTGCGTAGTCGTCCCCAGAGCGGTGCGCCTTGACGTGGGCATACTGCTGCACGTGCGTGAAGCCGTCGAGCGATTGCGCGAAGTGGGCGAAGCACGCGTAGGGGGTCCTGGCCTTCAGCTGCAGCTCCTTCTGCTTGTTTCCCAGGTGGACAACGCCCTTGAAGTCGGCGTGGACGGTGCATGGTCGGTCCGCAACCTGCGACACGAAGGCCGCCGCCAGATGCTCTCCGACAGCCGATTCTTGGGGCAAGGAGGCAGGTACAGCTCCGTGCATGGTCGCCAGCGGCCTGTCTGAGCGGGGATCGAGCAGGACGAGGCTCCACCCTGCTCGCTGGAATTCCTTGATGGGCGGCTTGGTGCACGAGCCATCGGTGGCGACCTCCATACTCGCGTCCTGTTCCCTGAGAAAGCAGGCTGCCATCTGCTCAGGTTCCTGACATTGCTCATCAGGAACTGGAACCCCTTGGCCGTCAAGGATAACGCTGGTTGTGCCCAAACTCATTGTCGGAACATCAGCACAAGCATATCCAAATATGCCTTCGATATACCCAGGCTCGTCTGCATGCTGGCGTAGCTCGTCGAGGAAAACTTGGGGGACCTCTGCATCGGCTCGAGCTTGCTGAACTTCAGGTCTTGTGCAATCAAGGAGTCGGTGCACGAGAGAATCGGGGGCTCCACAGGGACACCTACCATCCGTGTAGTATCCACGCTGCTGGGCTCTCGTCTTTGTCCAGACGCCACTGCACGCGACATTCATGATGCAGAACTTCTGGTGCGCCGTGTACCGCTTGCTTCGCAGGGAGACCAGGGGGGCTAGGATGTCGAAGGTGGCGCGCTTGCCCTCTCCTAGTCCGAGCTTGTTCGCTAGGTCTCGCTCATGCTGACACTGAACGCCTTGCTGCAACATCTGAAGCAGTAGTCCTGGGGTGAGCTGCTCCACAAATACCAGGTCGCCTCGATGGTTATGCCACCTTAGTGCCGAGGTTGCTGTCCATCCTGCCCTCGCCAACGAGAGGGCAGCTCGTTGGAGCGGCCCGCGGGTCATTCCCCACGAGCTGCATACCCCAGGCTCTTCCACCGCTCTTCTCCACCACGTCGTAAGTAGTGCCAGAGGTACTGGTGCTTGTTCAGGTTGCGATACTGCCATCCAGACCATGCGCGACCACTGCAGCACTGGCGCCATTGCAATCGCCACCGTGGGGTCGCCTAGGAGCACTACCTTGGCCGAGGCCGAGACGCCCCCATGACAGGGTCTGCTGAACTTGCCGAAGTCCGTGCGCAGCTTGTGGAGCTCCCTGTCTGTGAGCCCGTTGATCTCCACGCCGAAAGTGGCCGCTGGTCGAGCTCCAGCTCGGAAGATCTTGGCCGTCCGCTGCGTCTGCTGTCCTGGAAGTCGATGTCGAAATCTGCCCAGCTTGCGCAGCCTCTGCTTGTAGATCTTATGGCGCGCCTGCTGCTTGGCGCGTAGGAGCTTCCCTCGCCTTCTCCGTGCCCCCGCGAAGTCCGTGCCCAGGTAGGTTGCCCGACTGCGATTCATGTCTGTGGGTAACTTCAGCTGCCGCACCACTTCCTTCCCAATATCATCTGAGCTGGCCACCACCGCCAGCTTATCATTGATGCGGGCGCCGAGCTTCTCAGCTACCTTGAAAAAGGCATTGCCCGCCGCGACCGCTTGCAGGATGACGTTCTCCTTGGCGGCCCCGTTGATGCCGAGGGAGGTGTCGTCGATGTAGGACGCGAACCTGACCAGCGGGTGGAGCGTGACGTATACGTCGTACTGCTCGATGGCGTGCGCCTTTATGACCACGTCTGCGTAGCCATCTCCTGCTGGAAGGCCGACCTTTGCACGCCGTGGCTGCGCGCCATGATGCTGGTGAAGACGTATCACACGTGGCCCTCGCCACTGGTTGTACACAATTTTAACCATCGCCACTGGCATACCGAGCCTCAGCAGTTTATCCCTTGCTTCGTCCAGGGGAATGAGCTCGTAGTACTTGCTATAGTCGGCGATGATTGTGGCCGTGCGCCGCCCTGCCTCTACATTCTGTTCCGCATCCGCCGCCAGGATCCAGGCACTGTCGATAGCGCTTCTGTTCTTGGCCGCCGCCCAGTTTGGCCTACGCAAGGCCTCTTGTAGAGGTCGAAGGGCAGGTTTGCGGAGTCGTTGCCAGACTCTGTAGGCCATGGAATACAGGATGATCAACCTGTGGCCTCCAGCGGCCTTTGGCAACATCGGCATCACCATCCACGTCAGCTGGACGGGGAAGAGGCCCAACGCCTCGCAGGCCAGCAAGATGTCGCACAGGCCCTCCAGCGCGTCGTCGCTGAGGTGCCCCAGGTGCGTAGGGTGGAGGCCGTCCAGGCTGCTGGAGGTCGTGATGCTGAAAGTACGTGATGCTCGCCGAAGTTCCTCTGGTGAAGGTCGTTCTAGGGTCGACCTGTCAGGAATCCACGCCTGGGGAGCCTCCTTCACCGCCTTCCACAGCGCTGCGTGCGTATCCTCCATATCCTTGACTACGAAGTGCGGGTGCCCTGTGATGCCGTTCTCCGAGTCATTGACCGTAGTGGGGGCCTGAACCTCTCGTACTCGCGTGACCTTGTGAAGCTTCCTCGCTCCGCCAGCGCAGGCCCCGTCACACCACTCTTTCCAGCGCTTCGAAGATTCCTTGTTCGCTTGCTGCATGGCGAATTTGACATCCTCTTCAATGTCTTCCGAGAAAGTCATGATGTCCTCACTGCTGAAATTCCTCTGCGCTAGCTGCCGAGCTTGCCGCACAGATGCGTCAAGCCGCGCGCTGAGGTTCTGGCCACAGTAGTCACCAGTGAGGAAGCCTTGCACCTCGTTGTCGAGAACCTGTCGGCCTTCAGGTGTCCTGGCTTTCGCCTTCGCAGTGGAGAGGCCCGCCAGGCAATCCTGCGGCCACTTCCATCCATCCGCGATTGCCTGCACTTCCTCCTCCGTGAGGACCTGGTGCTCACGCTCGACCCACTTGGCTTGAAGCGGGCGAGCGTAGGCGCTGGCCCGCATCTCCGTAGCTGTGAGATGCCCGAGCCTCGAGGCCGCTCTGGTCGCCCATCGGCCCCAAGCCTTCGAGAGAAAGCGCCAGGCGACAGCAGCGGGCGCCTCCTTGGCCAAAATCAGCGCCTGCTCAGCAAAGCTGCGCTCCAGGGACCAGCTGCTCTCCTCGAGGAATGGGCCGTGCACAGTCTGCGCTGGTATCTTCGCGCCTCCGACGTAGGTGAGGTACCTGAGCTTGGTGCCCTCCGCTGTCAGTTGTAACTGAACTGGTCGATGCGGCTTTACTGCCCAGGTCAAGTCGGCCTTGCAAGCTGCTAGCATGCGCATGGAGCCCGTGGTTAGCCCGAAGTAGTCGATGGTGGAGACCGATGCCGCTGTTCTGCAAGTCGCGTGCCTCGGGGTGACCATCTCCAGCTGCGCGTGCACGGGGAAACCAGAGTCCTTGACAACCTGTACGTCCATGTTCCAGTCGCCGCCGATGATGCCAGGGTGCCTCTGGCCCGCGAGCGCGATCCCCACCGTCATGAGGATGCTGGCGTTGCGGCTGCTCATGCCCTCCCCTGTGTGGAGGTAGACGTTGACGACGTTGAGCGGCGGCCAGTTCGGCAGCTCCACGACGACGTGTTGAGCCCTGCCGCGGACTAGCTCGGTGCCGTGCGAGATGGTCTCGTTGACGCTGCCTGCACGTCTGGGCGGGGCGTCGCCGGGGTACGTGGGCCCGCGCAGCCCGATCCCCTCCCTGGCAAACACTGCCAGGCCTGCAGAGGGGAGATGCCCTCGTGAGGGCAGCCCTGGCACGATGAGGCTTTGCCAGCCACGTGCCGTTGCCCATGAAGAGAGGCTCTCGCAATCATCGATGCCGTAGCCGATCTCCTGGGCCATGATGACCATAGCTGTTGACCTTCGCAGCCGCTTCTGGAGGGTTAGCTTTCCCTGGTTGGCGTTGAAGGTCTCGAAGGTGTGCGTGACAGTGACCGCTGCTGGCACATGTAGCTGCTTGGCGCCCGCGCTGGCGGCCAGTAGCCCGCTGACCAAGGGCGGGTTACCCAGGCAGCGTGCCTGTGCCCAGGGAGCCTGCCGCGGTTCTGCGGTGCTTGCTGTTCTGGACCTGCGTGAACGCGTCGTCCAGCTTCTCCTTGGTCCAGTCCGAAGGCGGCTGCTGCCCGCTGCTGAGGAGCTGCTGCCAGAGGGCGCCGACGTCATCCTTGACCAGCTCCACCCAGGCGGCGCCGCGCTTATCACCTCCTCGAGGCTGGGCGTCGCCGTCAGCGTCCTCGTCCATGTCCTCGTCATCCCGAGCTGGCTGCCCGTCGGCTGCTCCTGCGCCACCGCCCTCAGCATGAGGAGCATGAGCACCAGGTTCCTCAGCCATGGCTGTAGCCAGCTTCTCTGCCGCCTGCTTGCGGAGGGCCGCCTGGATCTTGTCGAAATGGGGGCTCGCCTTGAATTGCTCGAGGGCCTCCTCTGCGCCGTCGTCGAGCTGCTCGGCGAGGTCGAAACCCACCAAGTCCTCCTCCTTGATGACTGGGTTGGGCTTCTCACCCCGTGCGGCCTGCATGGTCTGCTCGTGCTTTGCATTCTCTTTGCGCAGAACCTCCACTTCAGCATGCTTTGCAGCGATGGCCTCCTGCTTGTCCTGGATCTTGCGCTGGGTAGCCGCCAGCTGCGCCTCGAGGCCCTGCAGGTCGCTGGTGAAGCGGTCCAGCTGCTGCATGCACCTCGCGAGCTTCTGGGACGAGGCCTTGTATGCAGCGCCTGGGGGGCGCAAATCACGCGCCTGCTGCCGAAGGACGTCGAGAGCCCGCTGGTGCAGGAGGTGAATTGGGCCGCCCTCCGCCTCCACGATCTTGCACTCCTTGATGCACTTCTCGTGGAAATTGATCTTCGCCTGGAGCTCCGTGCGCTGCTGGATATTGCCCTGCCCCTGCTGCGTCTGCTCCTTGCTGCCAGCTCCCACTCCTGAAGACGCTGGTGCCGTAGACGCAGGGGTCCACTTGGGGCTGCCAGCCTGCTGGGAGATGCACTGCAGCACCAGCTCGCGGATCTGCTTCTCCGTGAGGCCGTACTCCTTGGACCATGGGGCAGGCTTCCGCACGAGCCCTGTGCCGCCTGCCCTCTGTGAAGGCTTCTTGTCCCGTGCCTCCTGGTCCGCTTTCTTGGCGGCGTTGACGACCTTCTGAGACGCCTGCCGCCCGCAGGAGCACACGATGCGGCACGCCCAGTTGTTGTTCTTCCCACACTGGCAGCCCCACACAGGCTCGCGGGGTCCGCGCAGCACTCTCGCCATCGGCGGTGCGGGCGCCATCGCCCCTGCAGAGGAGCCGTGATGGGCGTCCAGCCTCTGGGCCGCGCCGCGCAGCCTGGCAACCAGCGCAGGGGTCGTGCGCCCCGACCAGGCGTGGAGGAGGAGCCTGTCCTCCTTGCGTTGCAGTCGCGCTCGATGATGGGCAGCAGTCTCCCGCGGAGCCGCCGCCGTCGCGAGCGCTGGTCTCGGCGCGCGCCAGGAGCCTATCCCCCTCGCCTGCCTCGCAGGCGCCCAAGGGGGGGAGGCAGCTCCTCGCGAGCCGAAAACTGGACAGGGTGGATGAGGAGAAGGAGGATAGGGTGGAGGAGGAGGAGGAGGAGGAGGAGGAGGAGGAGGGGAGGAGGAGGAGGAGGAGGAGGAGGAGGAGGAGGAGGAGGAGGAGTCCCCAAGGAGGGCGTCCAAGGCATTCGCCAGGCGCCCGCGCCTGGGAACGCCCCGTGCCCGCGCGCGTGTGGCCGCCTCGTGGCGCCCCGCGCGTGCGGGGCGGGGTGGGGCCTCCCGAGCGGTCGCCGCGGCTGCCGCCCGTGGGCGCCCCTTTGGCGCTCGCTCGCATGGGCGCCTCTTTGGCGGGCGACCCGTGCCAGGTTTCGCGGCGTTCCGTCTCGACCCCGATGCCCTCGGGCAACGCAAGAATCATGACGGGAGGTTTTTCCAGGCTTTCGGCATGAGGGGGGCCCTTGCCTGCCCTCGGGGAGAGGGGGGAGGAGGAGGAGGAGGAGGAGGAGGAGGAGGAGGAGAAGGAGGAGGAGGAGGAGAGGAGGGAGGAGGAGGAGGAAAGGGAAAGGAGGAGGGAAAGAGAAAGGAGGAGGAGGAGGGAAAGGAGGAGGGAAAGGAGGAGGAGGAGGAGGAGGAGGAGGGAAAGGAGGAGGAGGAGGAGGAGGAGGAGGAGGAGGAGGAGGAGGAGGAGGACGGGTCGAGAACTCTGAGGGTCGACACTCTGCCAAAGTCATGACGTCGGGGGTCTGGGGCCCGCGTGCCGGGTGGGCTTCCCGAGAGCCTTCGCCACGCTTCCTCTCGACAGGGCCCCGTGCTCGCCCGCGGGCAGCTCGCGGCCCCTCCCCTTCCTTTGTCACGCGGCTCCGGCGCCTGCGGCGAACTCGTCATGCAGTGTGTGATCATTAACGGCGCCTGCGGCGAAACGAACGACACGAAGCGGTCTGCTGACCGGCCGCGGCGGGCCGGGCCCCTGACGGCGCACGGAAAAGCGCCTGGGCAGACCGAGTGAGACGACACAGGGCGGGCCGACAAAGACACGCGGGCCAGGCAAGGAACCGAGACAGACGGGAAAGCGAGGACAGGCGGGACTCTGGCGCCTGCGGCGAGCCTCTCCAACGCCTCCCAGACTCCCAGACTGCTGCCACCGAACCCGCCGCCCCCTCACTCTTATCCGCAACTGCCTTGTGCTACGTATGCACGCGCACGGGGAAGTCAACCTCTCTGACTGCTTGGCTTGGCGCAGTTTGCCTCGCCGGCCAGGTGTTGCTGAGCTCGTAGAGCTGTCAAACTCACAGATTACGGATCCATATACGGTTAGGTCAGGCATGTCCACCTACAGGCGGATTTTGAAGAACAAATAAACACATAAAACATATCCAAACATTGTGAGGGCCTCGGGAGCGCGGACGCGGCGGGAAGCCGAGACTTGGTCCCTGCCTTCCAGCCCCCTTGCCCGTTCAGGGCGACTGAGCGGAGGAGGGGCGGAGAGAGCTGACGCACTGGTTTTCTCCGCGGGCCCTGGCCGGGCTCATCGCTCAGGTCCAGGATCGGTGCACGCGCCCTCTCGGCCTGGCCTGGGAATCACATGCGCCAGCCTTGGGCCCAAGATTGGCCTGGACTGGCTCGGTGCACGTGCCCAGCTACGATTCGCTCGAGGGGAAGAACAGAGAAAGAGGGAAGGACGAGTACGGCAGGTTCGTGCCGTGTTGACCCGAGCGTGGGTTCCTCACACCGCGGGGATCGTTCAACCTCGTACGATCGGCCGTTTCCGCGACGTCCGATCGTTCAACTTCGACCGATTCTGGGCCGCCGCCGGCGTTCCACGTTGAACGCCGGCGGCGAGGTCGCCGCCAGCCGACACGACACGAACCTATCGTAATCCCATTCGGGTGTTGCCAGAAAGGACCCTGGCTCAAGGCGGCCCGCGCGGCCTGGCTGGCTCAGAGAGGTCCCTGGCTCCAGGCTCTCCCGGGAGCCCCAGATGCCCCCCCCCCCCCGACGGCAACAGCGCCCCTCACGAACCTCATGGGGGCCCCAGGAACGCCGAAGCCGCACGAAAAGCCAGGGTTAGGTCGGGCATGTCCTGCTGCGGGCGGTTTTGGGGCAGAAAATCGACATAGCCAAACTGAACTCGGAAAGCCGTTCTCGGACTATGTTTCCACTGTTTTTGAATACTCCTCCTGCAGAGGGACATGCCCGACTTCGGGGAGACGTAAGACCCGGGTACGGGGGACTCGGAAACCCCCGACGAGGTCGTCAAAAAAATGACGAGGCCGAGCCTGCATTTTGACGAGGCCTCCCGCTGCAGACATCCCACAAAACTCCTCCTCGTCAAAATCCGAGTCGCGGTCGTCAAAAAACGATGGCGAACCCGAGTCCTGGCAAACCCGGGTCTTACGCTCCCCCGACGACTTCACGCTGGGGGCGCCTTGGGCCAAGGGCTTCGGGAGTGTCGAAGACGGGCACCCGGGAGGCGGCGAGGCGTGCGCGCGGGGCGAGGGGAGGGGGGGGGGGGCAAGCTGGGTGCGCTCGCGCCATGTCGGACATCCTACCCCTCCCTCCCATCCCTTACCTGAAGGGAAACTGGGACACACAAATAAATACACACAAATAAAAATATGTCCCATATTTTCCCATATTTTCTGGGTTTCTGTCTTCCCCCCCACTTCCCATATTTTCCCATATTTTCTGGGAAATCGACGATTAATTGTGTCTGTGTGTTTTTTCCCCTCCTGAGTCATATCTGACATCCTACCCCTCCCTCTCATCCCTTACCATGGCGCAGATCCCATCTCTACTCGCACAGTCGGGTGTCAAGCAGGGCGATGATCCCGAAAGGGTGCGCAATGCATGGTAGAGCACGGCGTGGCATGGCGTAGAAGAGCACCGCGAAGCGTAGTATCAATAACCTGGCATTGCATTGCATGCCGTGGCATGGCACGGGAAATGGCGCCAGCGCTGCAGCGGGAACACGAGTCGAAACGAGCGGAAGCGCGGAAATGAGGCCAACACTGCAGCGGGAGCACGATTCGGAACGAGCAGAAGCACGGAAATGAGGCCAGCGCAGCAGCGAGAGCACGATTCGGAACGAGCGGGGCCCGAAAATGAGGCCGGCGCCTCAGCGAGAGCAGCATTTGGGGAACATTTGCAAGCGAAAACCTAACTCCGGGGAAGGTTTCCTGGGCGCCGGAAGCAGAAACTCAGCATTTTCGATCAAAAAAATGTATTAGAATGGCCTTTTTTCGGCGCCGCCTCGGAACTCGATTTTCCGGCGCCGGCCGGAAACGGCTCCGGACCCGGCCCAGGCGCCGGCCCGGGCGCCGGCCCGGGCGCCGGCTCGGGCGTCCGGCCCGGGCGCCGCGCTGCAGCGGGAGCACGATTCGGACCGAGCGGGGCCCCAAAATAAGGCCGGCGCCTCAGCGACAGCAGCATTTTGAAAACAAATTCAAGCGAAAACCCAACTCCGGGGAACCTGTGTAAAAAAACAATATACGCGGGGGGGGGGGGCGAATATTCCCAAGACGTCATCAGGGGAAGAGGGAGAGTAGTATTCATATTGAGTAATTGTGCAGGGGACGACCCGACTCGACTCGACTCGCTCCGAGGCGCGCCAGTCTGCGCAGTGCCTCGTGCTGGTCGGGTGGCGCCGCGAGCTGCCCCCGCAACGGCGGCTCCCGGCAAACCCGGCGTGGCGCCCAGGCCGGAGAGAGCTGGAACACGAGCTGAAAGGAGGAGAGGCGAGGGCATGACATTCGGAAGGTGTCATAGCCCCGACCGTCCTATCCACACACACACATGGTCCTTCCCCCCATCCTGCCGCGCCTCAATCTTCGCTTCCCCTCTCCGATGCCCAGTCCGCGATCCTGGATTCTCGATTCCCCTCTCCGATGCCTGCCCCTGGACTATCCACCCCGAGCCCCAATCACCAATCTTCCTCGATTGTCCTCCACCTTCCCGATCCCCGATCCCCGATTCTCCTCCGCCTCCTCTTCCTCCTCCTCCTCCTCCACGATCCTGTGAACTGAGAGCGCGTGTTAGCGCCAACGTATGTTGTCTACCGACCGGAGCCCTTCAGCACGACGCAGGCGGCGCAACGAGGGCCGGCACAAGCTGCGCGCCACGCGCCACTGGCGGGGCAGAACGAGGCAAACAGACATCTGGCTAACATGCGTCCTGTTGGGCGGTGGGCCCCTTGCGTGCCCGAGCTTCTATCGGCACGCTGCCTGCAGGCCTGGTGCTGCCCCCTTCTCCCATCCTTCCTCCTCCTCCTCCTCCTCCTCTCCCGCTCCTCTCCGCGCCAGGCTTGACTGACTGGTGTCCCAGGCATGCGGAGTCTCGATTTGTCGATTTCTTCGAGACACGCGCCCCTGACCTCTCGACCACTTCCCTCGGACCAGTTTCTCCTCCCGAATGGTTTCTTGGGGCCCCGAGACATGGCAAGGGCCCCGAGAGGCCGAAAACTAAGACACACATCCGCCTCGATTTTGTTCCAGACGCCGGATGTCTGGGTCCTGACCGAGGTCCTGACAGCGACGACAACAACAACTACGACGAGGACGACGTCGACGACGACGGCGACGACGACGGCGACGACGAGGCGGCGACGACGACGGCAGCGACGACGACGACAAACCGGCGGCGACGACGACGACGGCGGCGACGGCGGCCACAACGGCGACGGCGACGACGACGGCGGCGGCGACGACGGCGGCGACGACGGCGGCGACGACGACGACAAGGCGGCGGCGGCGACGGCGACGACGGCGACGATGACGGCCACGACGGCGACGGCAACGGCGACGACGGCAGCGACGACGGCGTTCCCGGCCACCCCGCGGGGGCCTCCGCGCCGTGGCTGGCCGCCCGGGGCGCGAGCCGCCCCCGCGACGGCGTCCGCGCCCGCGGCTCCGCGGCCGCGGCGCCGCGGGGCGGCGCGGGGCAGGGCCTGGGCGGCCCCCCGTGGATCCGGGGCGTGGCAGGGCCCCCACGAATGCTCCTCCTCCTCCTGCTCATCGTCCTCCTCCTCCTCACTCCTCACTCCTCCTCCTCCGCCTCGTCCTCCGCCTCGTCCTCCTTCTCCTCCTCCTCCTGCTCCTCCTCCTCCTCCTTCTCCCCCTCACTCCTCCTGCTCCTCCTCCTCCTCCTCATCCTCGTCCTCGTCGTCCTCGTCGTCCTCGTCGTCTCCTCGTCCTCCTCCTCCTCCTCCTCTCCTGGTCGTCGTCCTTGTCCTCCTCCTCCTCATCCTCCTCCTGGTCGTCCTCCTCTCCTCCTCTCTCCTCCTTCTCCTCCTCCTCCTCCTCCTCCTCCTCTCTTCTCCTCCTCCTCCTCCTCCTCCTCCTCCTCCTCCTCCTCCTACTCCTCACTTCTCCTCATCCTCCTCCTCCTACTCGTCGTCCTCCTCCTCAACCTACTCCTCTTCCTACTCCACACTCACCCTCCTCCTCCTCCTCGTCGTCGTCGTCCTCCGCCTCCTTCTCACAACCAAGAGATATCGAAACCATGCCTGCCCGTCACACTGGGGAAATGTCGAAAAAGCATCGCCTCCCAGACCCGACACGCGAACACCCTCCAGGCTGAGTACCTTCTTGGAGCTCGATTTTTTCTAGTCAATATGAAAGTGGGTTGGATCGTCGTAGGCCTGGGCGGCCCCCTTGGCATCGATCGTCGTCGTCGTCAGCGCTGTTCGTCGTCGTCGTCGTCGTCGTTGTCGTCGTCGTTCGTCGTCCGTCGTCGTTCGTGGACCTGGGCTTAGGTTGTTCCCATCGTACTTGAAGAGCACATCCCAGAGATAATCTCGAGCATCCAGAAGAATATCGAAGCCATGGCCGCCCGACACACTAGCGGAATGTCGGACGAGCACAGCCTCCAAGGGCAGACACGTGTAGACCATCATGTTTCGGTACTTGTTTGGTGCTCGGAATTCTTCCTGGTGCTCAAGGTTAACGTAGGTTGGAACATCGTAGGCCGGAGCGGCTTCTGTGACGACGAGTCGTGGAGAGACGTCGCCGTCGTCGCCGCCAGCGTCGTTCGTCGTCGTTGTCGTCCTTCGTCGTCATCGTCGCCGTCGCCGTCGCCGTCGCCGTCGCCGTCGCCGTCGCCGTCGCCGTCGTCGCCGTCGTCGCCGTCGTCGTCGTCGTCGTCGTCGTGGTCCGTTGTCGTGTGGGTCGCAGTGCCGGCGGCAAAGCCACGGCGCAAAGCTTCTTGGTACCCTTCGGCGTCTCGGGGCCCCTTCCCAGGGGCCCCAGGGCCGTCCGCAGCGACTCGGGATGGAGCGCCAGTCCTCGGGGCGGGGTCCACACCCTGCGAAATGCTTAAGAAATCATGGGTTAAGAAATTCATAATCTCAGAACTTGAATAAAAACCCAACATTGCTATTAAAATCTTAAGATTTACATTGAAACGTTAAGAATAATCGAGACTCTGGCAGAAAGCTTAGGTTTTCTTAAGCATCGCCTAAGGTGCAGACCTCCGGGGGCCCACGCCACGAAGCAGCAGCACGCCCGGACACAGCAGGGACGAGGTCGAGCGCCGTGTCGTGGTTCGGGCAAGCCTCGTGAAATGCAGCCCTGGAGGCGCAGTAGCTTACATTGGGGTCGGCGGATGTGGCGAAATCCCACCAGCCCTTTGGGCGTGAGTGGTTTAGAGAGCCCTCTCTGTTCTCAACCCCCCTTCTTCCCCTTCTGGGCCTGGAGAGGGACCCCCGCGGGTGGTCAGAGGGGTCTTTTTCGACTCCTGGGAGGGCTAAAAAACGACGACCCTCACGAGGATTCTGGCCCCGACGGGGGGGCGGAGATAGGTCCCTTTGAAGCCAAAATCATTGATTTTACTAAGGTTTTGGCCCCATTTTGGCCTCCTGAGGGGGCCGCGCTCATCTTCCTTCATAGCAAAATCATTGATCTTACGAAGGTTTTGGGTTCATTTTGTCCTTCTCAGGGGGCAGCGCTCCTTTGCGCTTCTGGGAGGTCGCAAAAGGCCCCAAGATGGCCCCCAGAGGCCCCCCGGAGCCTTCCAACAGGCCTCCAAGAGGCACCCAAGAGGCCCCCAAGACGCCCCAAGAGGCCCCCAAGAGGCCCCCAAGAGGCCCCCAAGACGCCCCAAGAGGCCCCAAGAGGCCCCCAACAGGCCCCCAAGAGGCCTTTTTTTTTTTCTCCCCCAAACCTCCAGCGGCTCCCGCCAAGAGGCCCGTTCGCCGCAGACGGCGGCTCGCCTCAGGCCTGACTGGCCTGGTTCAGCTGGTTCTCCAGCACGAACCCGTACGTTGGCCGGCCCTCCAGCCTCATCTGCACCAGCATGTTCACCATGCTCACATAGTGCAACTGGTGCTCCCCCGTGCGAGCTCGCTCTCAAGCCCCCCGCCGCCCAGGCAGGACTATCCCCTGCTCCGGCGGCTTGCCGTTCTGCGGATTCTTCCCAGCCAGAATCCTGTCTCGCTTCTTCCTCTTTGCGTCGTCCTTTGTGGAGCGCCCACGAGGAGCTAGCGGGCCTGGGCATGCCGCGCCCAAACCCGCCCTTCGCCTCGCCGAGTGCGCCCCGCACACCACACACACGAAGTACGGCCCATGAACTTCAACACGATGAGCCCTGTCCTGCCCCTCAAGCTCTGCACGATCTTCGTGTTGTACCTCTGGGCGCGCTGCTACTGCCGCTGCTGCAGCTGCCGCCGCGATGGCAACGCTGGCTTCCAGCGACCTGCCTGTCCCCGAGCTGCTCGAGCCTGTCGCCTGCCACCGTGGTCGCACGCATTCCGCTTGCCACAGCTTTATGCGCATCCTCTTGGATGCCGCACGCATGCCACGCCTCACGCATACCTGCCACCCACCCGTCTCCACGATATCGTGCTCGGTGAGGGTGAGCAGCGGCCTCGGCACTCTTCGTCTCGGTACCCCTTTTGCTTTGGGCGGCACGTCTGGCCACGTGCCGCCCATCTTTTGGTACCACCATCCTGTATTCTGCAGCGCCCAACGCGCGCGCCCTGCAAGGTCCTCCAGCGCCTGGTGCTTGCCGTAGTGCGCGTCCTGCGCCGCGCCCGCCTTCGCCAGCAAGTCAACCTCGCTGTTGCCCTTCGCAATCTTCAGGTCGTCGCCCGCGAGCTGCTGGATCCTGGCCTTGGACCTGAGGGCCTTCACGTGCATCACGCATTGTATATCCAGGTCCAGGTCCTTCACCTTGTGCCAAATCCTTCGCCATAGGTCTGCATGTGGCCGCTCCCAGCTCGTGCACCACCGCTCACCTTTCTGCAAACCTTCCAGGATGCCCTAGTGGTCTGTATACACACGACCAGGCGGCAGCATCCGCTCCAGCACCTTGAGAAAAGCCCACATCTCTGCTCTCTTAACCCTCCTATGGATCGGCAGTGTACAAGGCAACGGGCCCCACATCTGCATCTTCGCCGTGCCATCGTCGGTGAGCGACATGGCTGCCCAGCCCGTTTGCGCCCAGTCGCTGTACCCGAGCTTGGAGCCATCACAGACGATGTCGCCTGTGAGATAGTCCTCATCACCGTCGACCACCTGCTCGTAGTACTGGTCCTCCGCAATGCCAACGAACTTCCAGTCCGCCTCTGGAGACCTCACCAGCCCCCGCGTCCACAGCATGTTGGTGTCCTGCTGCTCGGCTACGTGCTGCCAGTCCGCCAGCGCCTGCAGACGCTGGTCCCTGAGCGCGGTGCACTTGTAATACCGATGGTGCTCGGTGCCCACCGCCCCACCGCAAGCCATGCAGATGTCCGTGGGCACGATATTACATGTGCAAAGCTTCTCCATGGTCCACGCACCTCCGATGAAGACCTTCTTCGCTGCATTCTTGGCATGCTTCGGGAACTCACGTGCTCGCAACTGCGCCACCGCTGGTGCCACCAAAGGCATTGGGCCCAGGCTCCTGAGCTCCTCCGCCTGCGTCCACTCCTTCCAGAGGGTCGCCTGCACGCCCTTGCGCACCATCGCTGCAATGTCCATAGGGCACACCTCCTGCATGTTCAGCTCGAAGCCCTCCTTCGACACAAAAGTATGCCACGCAGGCCACGCCCACGTGGCCCTTCTCATGGACATGATGACAGCACCTGCTGGCCCCCGCACTCGGGCCCACACTGGCTTCATGCCGACCTCCTGCTGCGGCCGTCTCCACGCCTGCTGCAACACGGTGCCCATGCTGTCCCATTGTCCTGCTCCATCCTCGTCTTGTGCGCTATGCCACATTGCACGCGCCCACCTTACTATCGGCGCCTCAGTGACCTCGTACGTCGGCTCCTCCTGCGCAACCGCCAGCTGGAGGGTGAGGCTTCGGGCTCCACGACCTCCTGGTAGTAATCGTCCTGCCTCACGTCGTAGCTGTCGTAGCTGGTGGTCTGGCATGCCTAAGCACTTACACCCGTACAAGACTGAGCGCTTTAGACCACACTTGAACACCAAGCCAACGCCCCTGGTCATCTTGCGCCCTCCCTTCAGGGTGAGCAGCCTCCGACGCCTGGCCTTCATAATAGCATGCCTCTTGCCGTTCTTAGCCTTTGCCGCCGTACCGTGCGTGGCGATGTCAACCCCCAGGTACGGGCAGGCCCTCACCACTGGCAGCTCTCGCTCACGCATCGGCCCTGTCACGGCCTTTCGCGCCCACTTAGTGCTCGCCATCACAGCGCCTTTACCCTTGCTGCCCACCGAGAACTTCAAGCCTATCTTCTCGAAGCCTCTGAAACAACTGTCGATTGTCTCTTCAAACTCCGTAACAATGCACTGGTGCTGCTGTCGTAACCGCACGCACAGGTCGTCCACATACATTCTCCAACGCGCCCTCGGTCTCTCCACCACCAGGCCATCCAACGTGGACTGGATGACCATCTTCAAGAAGCACACTGAGAACTTGCTACCCGCGACGATGGTGGCCACCGTCTGGGTTTCGCTGGACACCGAGTCACCCACGATGAGGCGCCTGCTCATGGCGAAATATGAGCACACCACAGCCAGCACCCCTGTGTTGAAAATTAGCTGCTTGCCTGCTTCCCACAATACGTGCAAGCTGACCTTCTCGAAAGCCTTCACCAAGTCCAACACCGCCGTGATCGTAGCCTGCGTCTCCTCGCTCTGCTCCTCCGCGTCGTCCATCTCGTGGCTGAGCTGCACCTCCCAGGCCGCGTCCTCCGCCGCCTTACCGCAGCTCGTGCAGCCCCAGCTCCTGCAGTTCTGCTTGGCCCACTTGACCATGTACGGCTCCCGCCTAATTTCCCGCACCCTGATGGCTGTGGGCAGCAAACCGATGACCCTGTCCGCGGTGAAGGTCTTCGGGATCATGAAGAACAGCACCGTGCCCATGTGGATGGGCCAGTACAAGGTCCGTTCCACCTCCATCTAGAAGTCCAACAGCTTGTCGTACGCTTCGTCCGACGCGCCCTGCAGCATGGAGGGATGCCACCTGTCGGCACCGACCCCCGTCTTCTTTCTGAAGGTGCGGGCTACCTCCTTGAGCTTGTCCACATCTTGTCCCGTGAAAGGCTCGAGCTTGTCACGCTCCTCGCACTCCCACGGTCTTACCTCCTCCTGGATCTGCTCGCCGACCCTCCAGATCTGTTTCCACTCCCTGAGGGTGTACTCCGCCGCCCCGATGGGGTCTGCCGAGCCCTCCATGGTGTCTCACCTGCGTGGCCTCCATACGGTAGCAGCCTTGCTTAGCTTGTGTAGGCCACCCGCTGCACCTGCTGCCGCCTCACCGTGCACGCCTCTCCTTGAAGAGCTTCTGGTCGTACTCCTTCATCTTGGCCTGGCTTTCTTGCGCCCATTGCTGCAACTTCGCCTCTTGTAACGCTCCTCGGAGTAACCCAGCAGCCAGCAACCCGCACTTGGCCTGCCGCTTGCCCTGCTCCTCAGCTTTTAGGTGCTTCGCCCGCTGGCGCGCGATGACGAACTGGTGCTCATGCGCAGTTGCCTCCCGCTGCCGTTGCCTCTGGATGTCACCTGTTCTCGCCATCTTGAGCCTAGAATATGCCCCATGCAAATTCTGCAAAGTCTTTGCCAACCACCTCCACCATACTGCTTCTCTAGCTGCTGGCGAAACGTTGGCACCGCCGAAGCTGAGCGGCTTGATCCTCCAAGTCGGCTCCTCCGCCCGTCCTGCTGCAGGATGGTCCGGTGCCCATACTAGACCTCGCACTGCAAAGGCTTCCTGCTCCAGTGTCTGCATATACTGCTTCCACGCCTGGTTGGCATCCACCTGCGACCCGAAACTCGCGATGTCCTGGTACCTCGGCGGCGCTGGTGTGCAGCCAATGCCCAGCTCTGGCAAAGCCTTCGGCTTCTCCAGCACCCTGACCATGCGCTCCTTCACCTTTAGCCTGAGAGTGAGCCCCACTGGCTTGTGGGGCGCCGACGGCCACTCCTCCTGCACTCTGACATCCATCACCTGGCTGACCAGGCTGCCCGAAACGATGAAGTAGTCGATCTCACTTGCACCATGCGCATGTCTGCACGTGCCGCACCTGGCTCCTGACGCTACAACTCGCGCCTTGGCCATCTTGACGCTTTCTACCTCCGTCATCTTCTCGGGCGCCACCTGGAAATCTCCCCCGATGATCCACGGCACTCCAATCGCCTCCAAGTGTCCAATCTCCTTGTTGATGATCTCCGTGTTCCTGAACGCCATGCCCTCCGCCGTCCACAAGTAGACCGACGCGTAGATGATGCCCTTACCGACCGCTAACCACGCAGCTACAGCTCTCCCTGGACTGTTGCGCGGTGACAGGTCCCACATCTCCTTGCCATACAGGTAGGTCATGCCTATGCACCTGGGCGCCACCACCGCAACGCCCGCTGAGGTACCTGCTTCTCCACCTGGTCCTATAGTCTGGTTCGCTGCTACGCCGCCGAACTGGTACCCCTGCACCTTCATGCTCTGCGACACCACCGCGATCCTGTCGTCCATGAGCCGATGCTCCTGCACTGCGTAGCACTGCAGCTTGCCCCCTTCAGATCCTTCGATCATCTCCTTGATGGTGCCCCACCCCGAACCGTTGAAAGTCCACAGTGTGAGGCTCTCATGCTTGTTCTTGCGCAGCCTGCTAGGATCGCTTGGCCCGCTTGTTATGCTCCGCCAGGCTGACGCACACCTCCATCCAACGCTTTCGCTGTGCTTCGCTGGCGTCCGCGGGAATCCCTCCTGCATGTCGCCACTCTTGTTCTTCAGGTGACAGCTGCGGACCCTGCTCGCGTTCATCTTGCGTTCCTCTGGCTGCACCTGTGCCCCCACTGTTGCCACCAGCAGGAGCACCACAAGCCTCCTCAGTGTCCATGCCGTCCTCGTCGTCCTTGGGCTCCTCCTTGACGTTGTCCAGCACTTTGCCGAGCGCTGCGAACAGCTGCTCGTACTCCGCCATGCTGATGCCGCTGCCTTCGACGGCACCCTCGCACTGCTTCTGCATGGCCGTGGGGAAGCCCTTGCCTTTGACGGATACGTCCTGGACCTTAAGCTCCGACTCCTTGGCCCTTGCGACCTCGAGCTGCTCCCTCTTCTTGGTGAGCTTCTCATGTGCCTCCTGCGTGGCCTTCTGGTGCCGCTTGACCTCGTCGATGATTGCCGCCTCCTCCTTCTCCAGCTTCTCTCTGGCCACCCGTGCCAATGTGAGCTGGACCGAGTGCGGCGTCGTGCTTCGCTTGGCATCCTTGGCGCGCACGTAGCGCTCCTGAGCCTGCTGGTACTCGACTGACTGGTCTCCCCACTCGGTCTTGCAGGACTGGGCCCACCTGAAGAGCTTATCCAAGTCCACAGGCTTCTCGTCGTCCTCCTCCTGCGTGGCGTGCTGCTGCTTCTTGAGGCCCTGCAGCTCTGCCCGCGTGAAGTCCACCTGCTTCTGGAGCGCCGCCTCCCGCTTTGTCGGGCCCTGCAGCACGTCCTTGTACGTGAGTTCTTTGCGCGGTCCAAGGGCCCCACATCCCCGACACTTCTTGCGCGTTGCGTAGTTGTCCGCCGTCCCACAGCTGCAAGACCAGTAGCCGTTGTACGAGCGCGGCCAGCCCCCAGCCGACATCGTGCGCCCGTCTGCCGAACGGTAAACCGATCTGCCTGCCGCGGTCTAGCGGTATCCCTTTGACCACCAGGGCGGAAGCACCAAGTGATAGTCATCTTGAGCCAAAATGCCTACGGAAAGGCCCCCAAGAGGCCCCCAAGAGGCCCCAAGAGGCTCCAAGAGGCCCCCAAGAGGCCCCACGAGGAGCCCGAACGACTCACACCAGGACGAGGGGCCCGAACGACTCACACCATGAAGAGCCCGAACGACTCACACCACAAGGAGGGGCCCGAACGACTCACACCAGGACGAGGCGCCCGAACGACTCACACCACGAGGAGCCCGAACGACTCACACCACACGACGGGAGCCCGAACGAGTCACACCAGGAGGAGGGGCCCGAACGACTCACACCAGGATGAGGGGCCCGAACAACTCACACCACGAGAAGCCCGAACGACTCACACCAGGACGAAGAGCCCGAACGACTCACACCACGAAGAGCCCGAACGACTCACACCAGGAAGAAGGGCCCGAACGACTCACACCAGGACGAGAAACCCCAAACGACTCAAATCACGAGGAGCGCTTTCTCTCCCTCCTCCTCCGCCTCGTCCTTCTCCCGCTCCCCCCACAAGGAGGATGTACAAGGAGGCGGGAGGAAGGAGGAACAGGGGAGATATGCGGGGCCAAGCGGACACACGCCTGAAAAACACGACTGTCGGCATGCTTCGCAAGAGTTGCTGCTGTGAGATGGGCTGGTGGGGATACGCGAAGCGTAAAGAATTCTGTAGAATCCATGTCCAGAGGTGACGTGTTGCCAGAGGCAGGTCCGCGGAGGCTATAATGCAACATATCCAATGTATCCAATGATTGCATAATTGCTACATGTTGTATTGTGTTACATTATTAGGTGCCCCCCCTAACCCCCCCCCAGGGGCCACACCACTTCCGCCGACCCAAAGTGGCCCCTCCCTCATGCGCCTCAAAAACCTACCAAAACCTATAGAAAATCAATGAGTTGGGCCTGTTGGCCCACTTGGGGGCCTAACAAGGCCTCAACACGGCTCGAGATGGCCCCAAGACGGCCCAAGACGGCCCCAAGACGGCCCAAGATGGCCCCAAGAGGGCCTACAAAGACCCAAGGACGCCCCAAGAGGGCCCCCACAGGACCCCCAAGAGCACCTCCGGAAGCCAAAAATCATTGATTTTCCTTTGGATTTTTTGAAGATGTCAGCGTTCCCGCCTATTTCGACTCTAAGAGGTCCAGGACGGCCGAAACAGCCTCCGAAGGGACCAGACAGCGCAAGAACGCTCCCAAGACGCCCACACGGGGCTCCGAGAGGCCCCAAGGAGGCCTCCCAGAGGCCCCCAAGAGGCCTCCCAGAAGACCCCGAGAGGACCCAAGAGGCCCCAACGATGCCTCCAAGGGGCCCCCAAGAAGTTCCCAGAGGCCCGACAACGACTGGACTGCACGCGCTCAGGACGTGCACCCCGCGAAGCGAAAGGAATCCACGTCCGGAAGTGACGTGCTGTGCGGCAGCGTTTCTGCAGAGGCGATAATGCAACGTGTCCATTGTATCGCATATTTGTATAATTGCCACAGATTGTCTTGTGTTGCATTATTATGTCTCCCCCCTAACCCCCCCCAGGGGCTACGCCACATCCATCGACCCAACCTGGCGACCCCCTGTTGGGGCCCCAAAACCTTTCAAAACCTATGTAAAATCTATGATTTCGGCTTCTTGGGCCTCTTGGGGGGCCACGAGGGCGTCAGGACGGCTCAAGATGGCCTCTGTGCTGGCCAAGGCGGCCCCAAGACGGCCCAAGATGGCCCCAGGGGTGCCCAACAAGGCCCAAGAAGGCCCAAGACGGTCCCCAGACGGTCCAAGAAGCTCAAGAGGACCCCAAAACGGCCCAAGAGGACCCCCAGAGAACCCAAAGAGGCCGCCGAGATGCCCCAAGAGTCCCCCAAGGGCCCAAGAGTACCCCAAGACAGTCTCCGAAGGGACCAGACAGCGCAAGAGCGCCCCCGAGAGGCCCAAACGGATCTCCGAGAGGCCCCCAAGAGGCCTCCCCGAGGCCCCCAAGAGGCCTGCCAGACGCCCCCGCGAGGACCCAAGAGGCCTCCTCCTTCTCCTCGTCGTAGTTGTAGCAGTAGCGGTAGCTATGCTCGGCTATGCTATGTTATGCTATGCTATGCTATGCTATGCTATGCTATGCTGCGCAATGCTATGCTGGGCTAGGCTAGGCTTGGCTATGCTATGCTATGCTATGTTGCGCTATGCTATGCTATGCTATGCTATGCTATGCTATGCTGCGCAATGCTATGCTGGGCCAGGCTAGGCTAGGCTAGGCTAGGCTAGGCTAGGCTATGGTTTGCTATGCTGCGCTATGCTATGCTGCGCTATGCTATGCTATGCTATGATATGCTTTTGCTTTGCCTTCGCTTTTGCCTTCAAGTTTGCCTTTGCTGTTGCTTTTGCTTGGCACCCAGGGAGCGCAACTGGGGGAACCGCGCGTTTGCTTTTACCTTTGCTGTTGCTTTTGCTTAGCCCCCAGGGGACTGGGGGAACCGCCCGGGGCGCTTTCCACTGCCGGGCCCCTTTAAGCCAAGACAATAAGAACCCTTATAGGCAGAGCCTAGGTAGGGAAAAATCAAGCCATTCCCTCACCTGACGTTGCCAGAAAGGCATCCCGAGGTTGAAGCGCCGCCGGGAACCGACGAAAACGTCCGAGCCTATCCAAACCTGAATCGGCGAGGCGCAGCATATGGAAGGCATCCCGAGGCTGAAGCGCCGCCGAGAACCGACAAAAACGTCCGAGCCTATCCAAACCCAACTCGGCGAGGCGCAGCCGCTGGAAGGCATCCCGAGGCTGAAACGACGCCGGGAACCAACGAAAACGTCCGAGCCTATCCAAATCCAACTCGGCGAGGCGCAGCCGCTGGAAGGCATCCCGAGGTTGAAGGCCCGCCGGGAACCGACGAAAACGTCCGAGCCTATCCAAACCTGACTCGGCGAGGCGCAGCCGCTGGAAGGCATCCCGAGGCTGAAGCGCCGCCGAGAACCGACGAAAACGTACGAGCCGATCAGAAGCCACACATTTGAGCAGGGACAGATCGTCCCGGCATTCCTATAGGCCTACCAGGAAATGCTCTTAAAACAAACGAATGTCCGAACAGCAGCAAGCAATGTGCTTAGAGCAGACGCCCGATGTGCTTAAAACAAGACGCTCTCAGCCAGAAATGTTCTGAGAACATTTCGTGCAAACTGCAAAAGGCTCATGTAAGACTCTTTCGTAGGCCTCTAGACATCTGGGATGGGCGCGGAGGTTGCCAAAGGGATAGGGGGCGATCAGTGGATGCCAAGGTGGGTTATATCTGGCCTATATCTAGCTCACTCGTGAGTTGCTGATGTCCAAAGTGGCTAGGGGGGATAGCGATCCAGGCTAAGTGGGCTCCGCCCACTTGGCGGAGTTGACTAATCCCCCTAAGCCACTCGGGGCATGTGAAAGCCACTTGTAAACTAGGCTAGGCCTGATATAACCACGCTTGTACTCCACTGCTACCCCCTATCCCCTTAGCAACCCCCGCGCCCATCCCAGAAGCCAAGACGGTTCGAAACTGCTCGCGACGTTGCACCTGGAGTCGGGGATCTGCTGACCCGGGTCAGTGCAAGCTCGGGTCAGTCAGGCGTTGCAGGATCCTGCGGAGTCCTTCAAGGTCCTGCAGGACCCTGCACCCAAGCCTGGGTCAATTCGGCGGTGGACAAACCTCCCTTTAGTAAACCCACCTTTAGTGAAAGCGGCCTGGGACCGAAACCGACGGACCTGCACCCGCAAAAATGAGGGCCGCGACGCCCTCTCGCGAGGCGAAAACGGCCAATTCGCTAATCGACGCGTCAGGGTAGGAGGTCTTGGGCGCCCGAGTTATCCGGGGTAACTCGGGTCCTGGGTAACTCGGGTTTGGATTCCCGAGAAAGGAACCCGAGTTAGCCCTGACCCGAGTTACCCCTGATGATTCGGGGCTCTGGACGCCCGAGTTGTCCGGGGTAACTCGGGTCCGGGGTACCTCGGGTTTGGATTCCCGAAAAAGGAACCCGAGTTATCCCTGACCCAAATTACCCCTGATGACTCGGGGCTCTGAGGTCTGTCCACCCCCGATCAATGCGACCCTGGCCCTGCAGGATCCGGCACGATCCGGCGTCCTGGCTGGCTCTCGCTTGCCTCGAAATCCCCGACGGAGAAAACGCAGCCGCACGCGGCCCCCGCCTCCTCCTCCTCCGCCTCCTCCTCCTCCTCCTCCTCCTCCTCCTCCTCCTCCTTTTCTTGCGCGGCCTGTCGCCGGCGGCCCGGCGCCACTCCTCCTCGAACAGGCCGAGCCTCGACGCGGGCACCTGCACCCCCCCCGCGGCGCGCGGCGCGCGGCGCGCGGCCGTGGGGCGCGCGAGGTCGCCCCTGCGGGCGCCCCCTTCGGGGCTCTGCTGACCTTCGGTTGGGCGCGTCCTCCTGCAGGAAGATGTTGGGCGAAACATGGGAAATAATCAAGACTACCAAAACATGGTCACAAAATATAAGAATAATCGTCCCCGGGCTATGTTTTGACTAATGCGGGACAGGCCCGGCTTAACCCAAACACGGGCCAGCAAGGCCACGCATGATCCTGCAAGGTCTTGCAGGATCCTGCGCCCTAGCCCGGGTCAGTGAGACCCTGGCTCTGCAGGGTGCTGCAAGATCCGGCGCTCTGGCTGACCCCCGTTTGCGTCGTCCCCCGTCTCGTGCTCCTCGAACCCCTCAAGCCAAGGCGAAGATACAATCGGGTGAGGACGAGTCGAGGACCTCTGAGATCCGGCGGCTCTGGAGGATGTCTTGGGCCCCACGGCCCTCTCAGAGCGTTCCGGATCGCTTTGAGATTTTGCTGGAACGCTCTGGATGGACTTAACCCGGTGCTCCCGATCATAACCCCCTGGGGATAATAAAGTTCGGGGTCTGGCAGGGATAATCAACGATTTGTTCATCGA